CTGCGTGCCTGGGAAGCTGCGTGCCAAACTGCAAAGCTGGGTTGGTGTGCTGGGGGCGTTCCATGCCTTGGCTTCCTCGTCTGCCGATGGGTGTCTGGGCAGCAGGCGTGGTGCCGGCACCTGGGGACCTGTGGCCAGCGAGGGAGCCCCCAGGATGGGTCCTGGGGCGCTCCCGTGGAGGTCAGGCCTCCGTGTGTGTGGAAGCTGCCAGTGGTTGGGCTGTGGTCTGGCCTCGCCACTCCTCCTAGAGGCTGGGTTCTGTGCCCAGCCTGGGCTGCGTGTGGGCTGGGCCCTGCTGCCCCAGGGGGTCCCAGGACCGTCTGAGCCTCACTGAGGCGGGAACATGGTGGGTGGAGTGGGAAGGGGCATGGGTGAGGGTGGGCGGTCCGGGCGGATGTCTCGGGCCCCCCCAGCGGCCACCGGCTCCTGCCAGGCAGTGGGGTTTGCTCCCCACACGGGTGGGTGGCTCTGAGGGCCTGGTGTGCCCTGGCACCCGGCCTTGCTGCCCAGGGCCACTCAGGGGATGGTACCCTTTCCCTGGCCAGGGTGTCCCCGAGGCAGTGGGCCCAGAACGCCAAGACCAGGCGGTGCACAGGCTCCCCCCGTGGCCCCTGTGTCTGGGAGGGCTCGGCTCCGCCCTCGGCCCGGGGTGCCAGGGACTCCCGCCTGAGCCCCCACGTAGCCTCTCCGTGTCCTCTGGGGTGAAGGCATGTCCTGCCTGCCAGCTCTTGGATGTGAACTGCCAGGGATGGGCTGTGACTTGTCCGAGGGTGGCAGCAGGGCCACACGGAGCCCTGGGGATCGAGAGTGACCTGAGCTGGGCGTCCCGGGTCCACCCGAGCTCTCCTGAGAGCCCTCGCGGGAGGGAGGGATATGGCCAGCTGGCCCAGGAGTGTCACTGCCCAGCTGGACCTGGCGTCCCCTCGCCACCGGGGCGTCTGCCAGGCTGTGAGCGCAGACTGGCCGGCTCTATAAATAGCCTTGCCAGGCCTGCCGGGAATCGTCCGCCGTGAAGCCTGGGGAGAACGGAGGCACAGTGCTCTCAACGGGCAGGTGGCACGTCATTGGGCAGCCAGAGCCAGGCAGGCTCTCCGACGCCTCTCGAAGTGGGCTGTGTCCCCCCTCACCCCTTTCCTTTCCCTCCGTCCTGCTTTCCTGGCCCTCCCTGAGCTGGCTGCCCCTCCTCTACACTCAGACCCAGAGGCCCTGGCCTTGGCCATCTGAGGGGACACTGAAGGACTTGCACAGCCCTGCGGCTACCAGATTAACGCATTGGCAGCAGTCTGGGAAGGCTTCCTGGAAGAGGCAGCCCTCAGGCAGACTGGACCTTGGGGGTGGGGCTGGGCTGGCAGCTTTCTTCCACCCCCCCCCCCTTTTTTTTT